CATAGTCTACACAAATGGTATGCCTACCTCTGCTGCATAGGCAATATGTTTACATCTGGAGCTAAGAAGAAACCACAAGGCACCCAGAGGAAACCTCTATGAAATTAAAATTTTGAGCAGAATGCATTCTTTGTCAGCATGTAGCCCAGGTCCAAGGGCTCGGTAATTCAAACCACATTCCTGATCCATATATCACTTTTATTAATATATACTACATTTTAGGGCATCACCACGTAAACTGTAATATTTTGTGTGGAGTTACCAGAATTAACCAGAAATCTGCAGATGTCTACATTGGCCAGAAATATTCCATTTTGTTTTCCTGTTTGATCGAATTGGCACCAAAACTCCAGCCAATTTTTCTTTGGCTGGAGTTGTAGAAGTGTTTGTTGATGTACAGTACACCCATCAGACAGTCATTTCAAACTCGGAACAAAGAGACCAGGTGTTCTCAGTAAAGTGGATGGTGCTGGCTGCATCATTTTCATTCTTACAATGTAGTACATTTTACAAGAGTCTAGAGAAATTAATAGACTGCCAAGATTAGTAGCCAGAACACTCAATTGCTTAAATTTTTGGGGAAGCCCTTTAATTATCTAATCTGTAAGGAATGTAGATAAATACATAGCCACTGGGCTTGTTCTTTAATATATTATAAAGACTAACATGAAATAGGAATTTGCATCAAGAGGAAAAGATTACTTCACAAGGAAGAGTCTGTGAACATTTATTTTGTAAACAAACTTAAACTGACTGCATTCAAGTACCCTAACTACTAACAAAAATGTACCTTATTTGTGTATCACTCGGCTGTGGATCCTCAAATCATCTCTGAATTGGTGCTGACACTGTCCTTCCTTCTGGAGGGTGGCTACTTTTATTCCCCATGGTCTATGTGTGTGTTGTAAAGTAGCCACCGCTCCAAGCTTACTCCCATGATGGACTGCAATCTAAATACAAATTAGTAAACTGAACATAAGATTATAGTCCACCACGGGAGTGAGCTTGGAGCGGTCAGTTGAGTCAGTTTTGTAAGTGTCCCTCTTTAAGCATAGGTCTGAGAAGTGTTAAAACAAGTTAATGTATTTAATGTTTGGCCGGCTTTACACCTTCAATGCAATTCCCATCATATTCCAAATATAGGATATTAACCCTTGTCTCCCCAGTTGAGGAAACTTTGGGATGAATGTATTATTTTTCACTCAATCTGCCCGTTAGGAGCATGTCAAATGCTCCTATCCCTGTCGCAACCACTCAGCTTCATCTGGTGGTTGCCACTTGTAACTGCACTTACCACAGTCCAGTCAGCTGCAGGCTGATCAGACTAATCGGCCTGGCTACACACCCCTCACAGCCTGGGAGTTGGTTAGTTGTGCAATATTTAAGCATCACACGCTCAGGGCTCTGGGCTTGTGATAGTTCCAGTCTTGCTCTGTCTACACAAGCCTTGACTCTTTAATCCTATACCTGTCTTGTTTCTTGTATCCTGTATTTATCTTGTATTAGTTCCTGTCTTGTATTTGTTTCCTGTTCTTGTCTTGCACCTTGACATTAGTCGGTACGTCTTGTTCCTGGGGGCCAGCCTGTGGCATCACCTCTTCAGAGCAAATAGTTTAAGACCTGGGGGCATCCAAGTACCGTGCTTGCCTTATGGGAACGGCGGCTGCTAAAGGTGAAACAACTCGTCACTATTTGTTCTGGAAGCGTGCGTCCACAGCTGGTCCTGACACCCCCCTCCCCAAGCACAGTCCATAAATAATTTTATTTTGTTTAAATCATAAAGCAATCGACAGAGATCTACACCTTCTTTAGAAAGTCCTGGGGTAGGGAGGAGTAACCTGTAAGAAGGAGGAGGTAGATCTGCAAGCAGCGACGGGGAAGTTCTCTTCTCCTCTGTCACCACCCCTGTAGAAGAAAAGCTGGATTCCGCTCTGTCACCACAGCTACAAGCTTTCCTTTCCTCCAATGGGGTGGGATTTGAGCTAGTGCATGGTGAGGCAAGCTTCTTTTAGTGTCCCTCTATTAATGAAAAGGTTAATTAGTGTGAATTAGCCCTGCAGTCAACACACCTACATACATACATACACTTATACATATAAGAGTTGTTCCTGTGTAATGGTTAATGCTCCTCACTAGTTTAAGCCTTGCTAAAAAGTTCATAACTTTAGAGTTACAGGCAGGAATATTCAACTTATCTCCTGACTTGCACATGCAGTTACTGTTCTCCAGTGCTGCATACACCACCCTAGTCAGAGGTTGTGGTAAGTATAGCAGGGCCCAGCAAACAGCAGAAATGTTGCCTATTAAAAAGTTGTTTTTAAATATTAAAATAGGAATATCACCAAATTGTAATCACTTTCAGCATAGCTAAACTTATGCAAACTAAAAAAGTAACAGGCCGGTGTTATGTGTCATCTGCAAATGTGAGCTGCTATCCGTAAGTTTTTACAGATAGAGCAGACTTTCCTTTCTATAAATATATGGAATCACTACTAAACATTACACCAGAGAAAGTCACAGATGTTTAGGAAAGAGCTACGCATGGGCAGGGAAAGGCATGAATGGGCAGGGAAAGTAGATCATCCCTAACAACCAGCACTCATGTCAAACCTAAACTACAGTAGGGCTGTTACGCAACTGGTCGCTTGCTCATGTAGAGTGACAGGTTGAACAAAACAGAAATAGGATTGAGAGTACTTTAATTTATGCAGGATTTGCTTCATTCATACAGGAAGGAACTGGAAACTCTGGAAAGGCATTTGCAATTTGTTTAACATTTGTTCTGCCTGGAGTTAAGCTTTAAGGCCTTTATGATGGGTGTCCTCTGGAACCCTGCAACGCAATGCATGGATTTAAACTAAATTCGGTGATCAATCAACTGTTTCTGGGGGGTAAAAATAGTCTAAAACTCCTCTTCCTACAATTTCTCAGATCACTGCTTCAAGGAGCCAACCACCAGCCTTGTACTTTAGAAAGTTGCCCACCAAAATACATTTGACACCTATCAGAGACATCTAAACCAAACCAAGGTTCTTTTTTCTCCTTGTATTGTGCAAATACAAAGAAAACATCTATTAACCATATGCAATCCAGCTCTGGAAGGGATAAGAAAGACAATCAAAGAGCTGCAACCCATCATAACAGTAGATGAAACGCTGAAAGATATCTTCCAACAACTCCCATTGCTGGCCTTCAGTGAAACACCCAACCTCGGACATAAATTAATCTCATTTTGATTAGAGGGATGCAAACAAGGGAACCAAACTTTGCAAATGCAAACAATGCATACTTTGCAGGCACATCAATCCATTCAAATGTGTCCCCCATCCAATTCCATAGCCAACTCTTTTACTGATCTGCCAACTTTCTCACTTTTCAGTACTCCATTTTTATGTGTGTTTGTGTCCTTTTTTAGAGATTGTTGTCCTTTTGCTAAAGTTTTGGCTATCAGTTCTGCTTGGACCTGAGAAGAAGGGAACATCTCAAAAATGTATACTGGTAATGCAACTGAAAAAAGTAACATGGACAGTACTTTTGCTTTAAAGAGGATTCCAGGATTTTTTTTTATTAACCATTACATTGGGGCTACCCTTGCACTGCCAGGGCTAACTGCTCGTTTTGGTCCCTGGCCAAAAATAAAGAAACAAATTCACTTGGTCCTCAGTGCAGCCTGACTGCTAGACCGGTCCCTGCAGCCTTTTCTCCCCTGGGCTCTGGTGGTCTAAGGACCTGTGACATCATCATATCTAATGCAAGTGCATTAGAGAGACATACCACAGACAGAGTGGAAGAGGAGCGATGTGAGCGCTGACTGCCGCAGGACTGAGGATCAGGTAAGTATATCAGAGCCGTAGCTAGCTCCTTTTGCGCCCGAGGCAAGAATAGAAAATTGCGTCATGCGTCCCGCCTCCAGGATGGCGGCGCATATGTGCAGAATGCGCTGGCGGCCAAATCCAAAATAGCATAAAAATGTGTGTTTTGTTTGATGAAACTAATGAAAACATTTTTTAGTTTCCGTTCATTTTTAGTCTTTGCACATGTCTAGTAATATGTGTGCGTGAGTGAGTGTGTGGTGGTGGTGGTGGGGGGGTCCTAAACAGACCCCTGATATTTCTCCCTGCGAGCTGTGTTGGCCGCCTGGTGCCCCTGTGCCTGCCATGGCAACAGGGGCAAGGGGGAGAAGCCAGGCCGGCCCTGGCTTCGCCCCCTTTCAGCTGCGCCTGAGGCGAGTGCCTCACTCGCCCATGGTAGCTACGGCCCTGAAGTATATCTTCTTTTTTTTTTGCCCCAGACCAAAAAGAGCACTTAACCCTTGCAGTGCAGGGGGATCTCCACTGCAAGGGTTAATTTAAAACAATCCTGAAGTTGTTCTTTAAGTGTTACCTAGCCATCTGTGGTATCTAAGATCTATATTTTCATGGCCTGCGGCTAATTAAACACACATGGAGATGGGAGATGTAAAGAACAACTAAAAATAAATAGAATTACTTCCATAAGCTGGTGGTTTTAATAGCATTATATGATAATTGTGTAAAGGTTTCAGGAGGAGATGGAAATGCAATGAAGAGGTGAAGTGAGTGTTTAGTGTTGCGGCCAAACAAACTCTCTTCTTAGCATTCAATGATATGTTAAGATAAACATCTGTCCTGCACTAATGAGCAAATGTAAAGTAATTAATTGAATATGAACTGGAAATGTAGCTCAGGAAACTGGAATAACTTTAGTGTGCTTTTTGGTGACGTTCCAACATGACATAATGGGATTAAAACAATACTTGTCAAATCAATCAAACAATCACTTGAAAAACCATAAAGAATACTTTCAAATCTCGCTATAATGATTTAAAATGGGGTTTGCACTATGATCAATAGCTTGGAAAGCATACACAGGAAGAGGAAGTCATCGGAAGGAAAGTTTAGGATATCAACAATGAAATAGTAAGTGCAATATCAAATTTTAGGAATGAAATGAAACCCTTCTTGTTTTGTCTTATTTTGCAGATTCCGTTGAATTGGAGTGCAGCCCCATTGGCATACAATGCAGACACAACTCACCGTTTCACTCTTGCTCTTCGCCACTTGTCAATGCCTTCCATTCTACAATGGATTCTACTATGATCACATCCTAAATAACATCTCTAGCAATGGAAATGGAGAAGGTAGGCAAGATTTATATTTTGTTTTTAATTGCCTTGTATTACACATCTAAAAAAGTAAATTCTTGGAATCAGACCTTGGACAATATGCATGCTTACCGCTTCTCACTAAACCTGTTATTTTCTGACACATCTATCAATAAAATGCCACCAGCTGCATGCATTGTTGAATGACCTGACTTTTAGAGCCCTGGACTGAAATTTAGGACAAACGATATTAACCCCTTTTATATAGAGCTTAAAGTGCATACAGTATGCTGCTTACAGACCATGCCTAGTTTGAAAGGAAACTCAAGATTATTAACACCTTAAAGACTTGAGCAGCACTCCCACAAAATGCTGTGGATTCAATTTGGGATGTGCTCTACTGTGTTCACCACTGACTTTTGATACAGGTTGTATCAATACGACCAAAGCCTGGAGATCATGTCCCAGAGATATAGAATGTTCTGCGTGAAAACACTGCTCCATGGATATACATCTACCTCCCACATAAGAATCAAATAAAGTCTTACCTATGTAACTCATACCCATAAATAACTAGATATACCTTGCCAATTTAACCAAACCTATAGTGAGGATTCTTTCGACAGCCTGTGTAGGAGCAGTAGTGCAATGCCAGTGGTTACCTTGTGCAGGAGCCCTTGTAAATTATCACAACGCCCACCCCAGCACCTCCGCTACAAATTAATATCTTATTAATTTTAATCTGTGTGGTCAGGATATTTAGCACCAATGGGATATTTAGCACCAATGCTGGGTTCTTAAAAAGGCATGTGGTTGTAATTCCTCAAAAGTTGTATTATAACATTGTATAGCAAGCTTTTGAAATGGTAGTTGTTACGTTTCTGTTACATATACTGTATGTGTAGTCTCCAGTCTACTGAAGCCTTCCTCAGCCAAGGTTCCTCATGAGGCTGCTAGGGGTTCCTTGAGAAGTAAACAACAATTAATTATTCTCCCACCTATAATTACCACGGATGTAAGGACGGAACTGCCTTGGGTGTAAAATACAATCAGTATACTACATTATTTATTCTTCAATTTAATACTTTCTACAACTTATTGATAATACTAATGTACCTAGAGCTGTAGGTATATTCATTTCTAGCAGGAGTGTCTGTTGTGGGAAAAAAGGTTAGGAAAGGCTTATATATTCTGAGAATCTAGAGCAAAAACCTGATTTTACTTTGATTAAATAGCCTTGCTCTCTGTGTTAGGCCCCTTTCACATGGGCTGATCAGGAGGGGATCTGAGCAAGGATCCCCTCCTGATTGGAGTGGAATGTCACCACTGTGACATCCATGTCTCTCCAGTTCTTACCTCCATCTTGCGATGGAGGAGAAAGACCCAGTTTACACAAAGCATAAATGGGGCACCGGCATTCCAAATGTTGAATTGCGCATCTTTTATTGTCGAAAGTGCAGCATATCACAAATGCAGCGTTTTGGGGTCATGCAGGATCCCCTTCTTCAGGCAAGACATGTGTCATGTCATCACATATCTTGCCTGAAGTAGGGGATTCTGCATGACGTGCATCACAAATGCAATGTTTCGGGGTCACGCAGGATCCCCTTCTTCAGGCAAGACATGTGTCATGTCATCACATATCTTGCCTGAAGAAGGGGATTCTGCGTGATGTGCATCACAAATGCAATGTTTCGGGGTCACGCAGGATCTCCTACTTCATGCAAGACATGTGTCATGTCATCACATGTCTTGTCTGAAGAAGGGCATCCTGCGTGACCCTGAAATGTTGCATTTGTGATATGCTGCACTTTCATCAATAAAAGACCCGCAATTCAACATTTGGAGTGCCAGTGCCCCATTTATGCTTTGTGTTATGTAACGGCGCCATCCGCTGGACATCACAGTCAGCGGTCAGGAGTGCGATGGGTTCATGGACTTCTTCTTCAAATAGACCTATTCTACACATCTGGGATTTCATTCCAGTAGCCGGTATGGAGGACATTTTCTAGGGATTTTGAACCAAATTAAGTGATTCCAAGATGGCAACATTAAATGCTTCTAACAGTGTATGGCCAGCTTAAATGAACTTTAATCTCATCTCTCAGATGTCCAAGAATGACAAGAGAACTCATGTATGAAGAGGAAGGTTAACCTCTGAAAGAAAGCTACTCAAATCTGATACTCATTAACTTTTAAATGGATTCCTAAGTAAATAACTTGCAAGTCTGAATAACTTGAACACCTGTAGAATTTTGTTTAAAAACATTTCTTTTTGTTCAATTTTTCAATATTTAATAGAGTTGAAATGATAATTCCTTTCAAACATAGTGAAACATTTTCATAGTGAACATTTTCTGTAATGTTTTCTGGAATTAAATGTTAACAGTGAATGTGTTTTTTAAAAAAAAACAAACTACATTCATCAAGTCTCAAGTCAATGCCATTATTGAATGTTCTGATGAGATTTCTCATATGAATATTCATATGAAAATCCTATCAGTCTATGACCACCTTTAAGTTATAGACATTAGATGTAAATTCTGTCTTACCATATTGATAGAAAAGCTGATCCACACAAGGGGTGCAGGTTAAAAAGTAAAAAAAAAACATGTCCTATTCAGTATGACAAAATATGTTCCTAGACAATAATGACATTTAGGAAATTATCACAATGTATACAATGTATGTGAATGGGTTGTTACCTGAAAACCCTGTGTAACATCAGAACTACAGGGAACACAGCTAAGGTAGTAGTCACCACAGACCCCAAAACGTGGGGGATTCCAACAAACCCATACATTTATATGCCACTGTTGTTACTAGGTGGCTTAAAAGTGGTAGAGGTGACTGTATTGACAAGGGCAGCTGCCATAGTAATGTAGAGTTTGATACCTGATATTGTTTTTAGTGAAGACTGTTTTTATTCTGCTAGAGTCACTGCAATTGGGGCTTGAGTATTCATCCTTTTCATCAAGTTTCTTCTCAAATGTTGGCAGATTACACATCTGTTTATAGACAATGAAGGCTGGCAGGGTGCAATTATTATTCCCCACGGTTTGTTGAGAAGGTCCTGACTAAAAGGATGTCTTTTCAACTATTATGTTATATACCAAGCCATGTCATCAAACGGGCAGCAGCAGTTCAGAGGAATGCTAATCAGTAAGGACAGAAAATCAGAGACAGTTTTGGTTTTACATGAATATAATTTAATAGATTATGACAGTAACATAGAAGAGCGATAGCAGAATGACGGCAGTTTTTCATATTGTATTTATGTATTGAAACTTTTTGCCTGAGTATAGACCTATGTGTATACCAAGCATGTGTAAATTCACTTACTGTTGGTTGGCTCACTAACTCTGCTGGAAGTCTGTTCCAAGCATCACCTACTCATTCAATAAAATAATGCTTTCTATGGTTAGTTTTGAACTTTCCTCCTGCTAAATTGAAGTCATGTCCCCATGTTCTTGCTCTCAGCTTCATATTGAATATAACTACCCTTAATAAATGTAAATGTTTAATTCATTATTTTCCTTGCGGCTATACATATTAAAGGAGAACTATGGGGTCAGGGCTTTTCCCTAAGGGTAATGGGAGAACACAAACTAGTGTCCTCCCGTCACCCAAAGCTCAGTATACCGCGAGCTACAGCTCGCGGTATACTGAGCCGCTGCGGCTGGGACGGATCCCAACATTACTGTCTGGATCCACCCAGCTGCGTGAGTGACAGCTAGCTCTGCCTATCTAGAGGCAGAGCCAGCTGTACACACCCCCTCCCCCATCCGTTCCGCCAGTCAGCACTGGAGACTCAGACAGGGGAGGGGGGAATCCCTGCAGGGAGCCATGAGTGACAGTCATGGCTCTCTGCAGGGACCTGATCGAGATGTGAGCGAGCGACGGTATGTGTTTGCTCACTTCCCGATCTATTGAGCCGACCTGTGACAGTTTCATTGTCACAGGTCGGCTAGAACTATGGGGTCTATTCACGAAGCTGCCGAAGGATCTAGCCGTAGCTTCGGCCGATCCTTCGGCTAGCTTCGGCCCCAGGACCCCTTCGGTTCAGTAGAACCGAAGGGGTGCTGTACGGGCTATTCACTATAGCCCGTACAGCTCCCGAACGTGGCCGAGTGGCTCAGTTGAGCCGAACGCATATGCATCGGCTCGGCTGAGCCGTGCTGAAAGCCGAAGCTGGCCGCCTGCTTCTGACAGCTGGGCGGAGCCAGCCGTGATCTTACGGCTGGTTCCGGCCACTTGCAGAGAGAAGCCGATGTACGGCTGAATTCAATCGATGTACGGCTGAAATCAGCCGTACCAGCCTGAAGTGAATAGCCGAACAGTGTTCGGCTCACTTCACTTGGGGTCGGTTGTTCACTCGGCTGCCCTCGGGAGCTTAACGAATAGACCTCTATGAGGCTGAGTGATTTTAACTCGCCTCATAGTTCTCCTTTAAGTGCATGTTACGGTCTCTCCTGATATGTTTATGAACAGTCTTTGTTATTAAAAGAGATTTTCACCAGAAAGCCAAGAGTATATTAGGTAAGAGATCTGACAGTCATGTATGTCATTCATTACAAGGCAGAGAAGGAGCAAATGGAAGAGGCATGCAGATGTCACACAGGGTCAAGAAGACCAGACATCAGAATTCAGTGACGTCTGTGCTTCCTGGAGTCACACAGTATTATTAAGAGCCTCTTACGTTTGTTGTTACAATGCAGCATATTCAGAAAGCCTCCAGCAAGATTACACATCACTTGGAAACATTAGACCAAAGTCTAACCACCACCACTGGGACATGGGTTGACCTTAGTATATGTGACAGTAATCAATATCTGTTTCTAAGAAGGGGTGGGGTGTCTGTTGCTAACAATGACAACTGCTCTGTTTAATATATTTATTTTATGTGGTTTATAATACATTATGGCTGGCAATGATACAAGTGACACTAAACTCAGGAGATACTGTATATCCTGAAAATGCATCCAAGTATCTCAACTGCTAACAATACTGGATCTTGTGTATCATTCAGCTGTAGATTCTCAAATCATCTCTGAATTCATGCTGACACTGTCCTTCCTTCTGGAAGGTGGCTACTTCTGTTCCCCATGGTCCCTGTGTGTGATGTAAAGTAGTCACCACTCCAAGCTCACTCTCGTGATGGACTACAATCTCGAAACAAATCAGCAAACTAAAAGTGAGATTGTAGTCTATCACAGGAGTGAGCTTGGAGCGTTGCCTCCTTTACAACACACACAGGGACCATGGGGAACAAAAGTAGCCATCCTCCAGAAGGAAGGACCGTGTCAGCAATTCAGAGATGATTTGAGGATCTACAGTGATATACAAATAAGCTACATTTTTTGTTAATAGTTAAGGTACTTGAATGCATTTTTAAGATTTAACGCCTGAATTTAGTGTCACTTTAAAGCCAAACTTAAGGAATTTTTTTTTTCTTCGGAATATGCTATGTACCAGAAAAAGACCTCTAATGATGGGTGTTGCATGTGTGGATGCTGCAGGGGTACTAGTCTTTACCTACTCAACTTAAAAGAAAAAATTACTTCTGTCTGTATTGCTGTTGAACAGTTTTCTTCTCTTCCTATCTGCGGATAAGGTTGCCCCCAGGGCAGTGAGTCTCTCCAACAGTCCTGGTCAGCAATAAAACCTGACAGAAGTTCTAATCCTTTCCCACACTATCCAAAACAAAAAAAGTTTTGGCTGTAGTTATACTTTAAATGCATTTGCAGTGTCAGTCATGCCAAGAACTTCTAGCCAGCTTCTGCAATTCTGTTTCAGAATTGATGCTTTAAATTGTAGACTTGTATTCATGGAGTATTTTCATTTAAATTTCTACCCAGTAATGAATCCAACAAATGTGGCTGACATTTACCTTGATGTGCCATATACTCTATCTATACACTGACTAGATATTTCTTGTTATAAATTAGTGCCACCTAGTGTTCAAGTTGAAAAAGACATGCAGTAACAGCTAAAGATTTTTTTTATAACCACAACACATGTCCGCAACTTACTTTTCTATTCCTTCTAAATTAAACATATTTATATATATATATATATATATACGTATACGAATTTTTCTCTATATAAAATGGCTCTAGTGAACGCACCTTATAATGATAAAGAAATAAACCTAAGTTAAGTACTAATAAAGAGACCAATTTCTGTACATTCCACACTCCACTGAGATGCTTTAAAGAATAAGAATACATGACTATTGCTGAATTTTCTCTCCTTTTACATATGAACATATTTGTTTACATTTCAGCAATTCACTTCAATGGTGTGAAGCTTGTGGTTTATACACCAGAAGATGACCTCTTTGGTTATCGTGGAGGTAACATTACACTTCCATGTTCGTTCCACTATGAGCCAGCATTACAGTCACCGAGAAGATTTCGTGTTAAGTGGTCCAAGCTGCACAAAGATAACACCAAGGAGAAGGATGTGCTGGTGGCAATCGGTTTAAGGCAGCGTAGCTTTGGAGAATACAAAGGTCGGGTTCACTTGCGCCAGCGTGTTCCAGATGAGGTTTCTCTTGTCATTACTGATTTGCGCCTGGAGGATCATGGAAAGTACAAGTGCGAAATCATTGATGGGCTTGAAGATGAAAGTGGCATTGTAGAACTGGAATTAAGAGGTGAGAAACTAGGGCTAAAAGTTTAATAGTTTCCCTACTCCCCACCCTGGCCAAGGTCACATTCCACCATAGATGCACACATTCTAAAGCTGGCAATGCACCTATAGATTATCTGCAGACTTTCTATGGTCAGATGAAAAAAGTGCAACAGATTCCTCCATTTATGCTAAACTGTGTGGATGAAGGAATCTTCCACTGGGCCAAGCTTCAGTATCTTGCTAGTCAGTCCCGCTGGCTCTCAAAACACCTGAACAATGCCTGCATTCATCAGATTGTTCACGTGTTTTGAGAGCCAGCAGGGCCGACTAGGAAGATACTGAAGCTTGGCCCAGTGGGAGATTCCTCCATCCACACTGTTTAGCGTAGATGGAGGACAGTTTGCTTGGAAGTGAGTGTATTTAATCGTATTTAAGATATGGTTCCAGACAATGATAGAAAACTATGTTTGCACTTTACCTAATGCTGAATTTTGATTTAAGCAATGGCCGCCTCCATATTTCTCTTACTATAGGCTTTCTTTAAGAAAATAATCCAAAAGAGTGAATTTACTAAACCCGGGGGGGATGGGGATGGGTCTCATTAGAAAAGTAGAAGGTGAAAAGAGCTATTTTGCCATATGCTTCGCAAATGTGGTGAGTCAATAAAAATGCCCTTTGACTAGCATTGTGATGGCATAGATCCATTTCTAGTATAGTGTTTGGTCTCCAGGAATATTGAAACTATGGTGGCAGATTGTTGCGACGTAATAAATATAAAATAATCTAGTTTTAGAAAATGGATGATTAGATAGTAAATTAAAATCAACAAGAATAATAATTGTTAAAAATACAAGAAAATGTTTTATGATTCTAGAATAAGTGAAGGTCTCTGGTAAATCTTTTACTTGTCTGTTAGATTTACATGTTGACGTGTTGACATGCTATATCAATATCTATATACATATCTATATATATATATATATATATATATATTGCAAATATAAGAAAAGATAGAAAACAGTTTATCTCTATACTTGTTAAATGGTCTGATAAGAACGGTAAGAGATATTGTGTATAAAGTTAAAAAGTATTAGCCAATCAGAAATAATCTCTTCACCAACCTGACAAATCTTATCAGCTGCTGTAGGTTGTTTACTCCACATCATGGCCACTATATGGAGCCGAGGAGCATAGGAGTTTCCTGCAAAGCCAAAACTCTGCAAATGGTTTATAAATACACTCCTTAGTCACTGCAGTACACTCCCAATCTGTGTTTACTATATCGGTGTGCACAGAGGTCTGTTATGTTACATAGATCAATATAATATATACAAGTTTAAATGATTCTTCTGATTCCTGTGACAAAATGTAAATAAGTGGAGGCAGAGGACAGAATTGTGGACATTGATTAATACTGCCTCAATAATTGCAGTTACTAATCTGTCACATCTTATATTTTAGGCAAGTTAGGGAGATGTGTTATCTGTATGCAACGTGCAAGATAAATTAGACACAATGAGCATATTTGTGGCTGTTTAAAAAGTGTTCCTCAGCACTTCTTTATTCTATGACAGATATAAGGGATATCTTAACTCACAAAAGAGGTGCTTGCAGTTGAAGTAGAATAGAGAAAATACGCATTCACTATTTGGTCACACAATCACGCAAAACGAAATCTGCTTTGTTAGCAAAACACACCCATAAATTAGCAAGTAATTGACATGTAGCTACTATAGGCTGGGGTCACGCTGTTGTGCTGTTGGTAACTTGCGAAAACATGTGTTATGCTTGTTGGTATACTGCTGTGTCATTTTTAATGGCACCACAATGTAGCTTACCTGCTATGCTGTGTGCAGTACAATGCAGAGCACCACTCTTCTGTGAATTGTGGTACACTATCTTACAAAAAGTACTGCATGCAAGCTTTTTGGTGCGTCTTGGTGCATTAGGCTGCCCATCTAATAAACAGTGTGCCTTAAAGTAGTATAAACTCTCAAACTTTGTTTATGTATATTGCCCAGCAAAGTATTTGTTTACATTTTTTCCCAAACACTTCCAGCCATCATGGTTGCAAAAGCTCCAATCCCTCAGCTCACCTTCCCTGAACTTCCTGTCCAGTTCAAGATTACAAGGGACAGAGCAGTCTCCAGCAGCTAGCTTGGAGAAGGGAAGCAGTTTGCCCTGCTATGCCTGTGTGTTTGTTTAGGCACACACAGCTTACTTACATACACAAGAGGGCTCCAAAGGACCCTGCAAGGGAAAAGATACCCCCTTTAGGCTAGGTTCACACCTGCACAACACCCAGGAGGCGCGTCCCGGGGCAGCACGATCGTGTGCTTGATTGCAATGGGGTAATATCCGCATGGCAATCGCTAAAAAAAGCGACCTTTTTTTTGCAACACATGACACGTGGGAAACCGTGCGATCCACACAGCGCGACTGGGGTGCCATTAGAAAATAATGGCACCCACAGCGTGATCGCCTGCGGTGGGCGACTCCATGAGCGATCGGCAATCCGTGCGGTTTTGTGCACGATTGCCGTGAGGTGAGGAGTCGCCCACGTGTGAACCTAGCCTAAACAGGATCAGGGCCAGTGCTCAGAGGACCAGATGATTCTGTAGGAAGCTAAAACTTTCAAACATGAAGGAGCAGCATCCATTGTAAGTGATTTCATCAGCATTTGAAAAAGCTTCAAAACCTTTTGAATTTAATATCGCTTTAACACAATGATCGTTAACGCACAGCATATCGCACATTCACTCACCACAGCAGTGTAAATCCTGCCTAATAATAAATATCCCCCCCTAGCATGTGCGTAAGTCATAACTTCCATGGAGATTTTCTAAAAGTAGCCACTGGATGTCACTGTCTACAAAACTATTTCCAAATGCCCAATAGCATGTAGCTATCCCTACCTAGGTCTGAATAAACACAAAAGGCATAGAATGTTTTATGGTAAATGGACAGGCTACACAATATTTCATTAAACATAATAATCAGCCAACATCACTTGAAAAAAAAAACAATTTTCCTCTTTACAATATTTTGCTGTTGCAATTATTTTATTTATGAAGAGAGGTGTATGACAAGTTATTATTACTATACAGGATTTATATAGAGCCAACAGGTTGTGCAGCACTTTACAATATAAGGAAGGCACTGCAGTTACAATACAAATCAAAACAAGATGGTAAGGAGGGTCCTGCCCGTGAGGACTCGTTAGGTGATTAACGTTAGGTGATCAAAATCAATTGTTTCTTCATGAACCAATGCTGTTAATATGGAAATACATTTTATATGACAAGAAAAAAAATGGAATAAGATAGAAGAATGAACACTCCTTGGTGTATTGTATGTGGAGACAACCTATTGTGAAGGGTTTACAGCAGTGGTTCTCAACCTGTGTAATCTCAGGACCCACATTTGTCCTTGGTCATTAAGTTGTGACCCAAGTCGCAGTGCAATGCACGGAATTAGGGTACCGCGTGTTCCGCTGCGGACATACGAGCTGTGGGTGGAAGGTGCGTTTGGGGTACAATTCAAATGAATGGCAACGCAACACACCTCCCACACCAGAATGCACGGTAGGTGCGATTGCGTGGTACAGTGCGTTAATCACATGATTCTATGTGATTAACGCACTGTACTCATGTGAACAGGCCCTCAAAAACACTGGCATACATACACAACCACAGACACAATCTCATACACACTCCAAAAAATGTTTTAAGGTCAACCCAGCCTCCCTACCATATGAGAACTGGAGTGGATCCTCAGCCTGGGGTCCAGTGTGGGCTGCTGTGCTGTGACGGAGCTCCCTCCATATGTGCATTGCTTGTACAGCTCCCTTGCGTGCCCTGTAGGACATGTGAGGGAGCTGTAAGCAATGCACATATGGATGGAACCTTCTCGCAGCCATCGACCCATCCCATCTCCCCTCAAGCTAACACTCGGCGTCGGGAAGCATATTTTAAATGGCTGCTTGGCAAGAGAACTGACAGTGCTGTGCTAGGGGGAGGCTTAGGGGGAGGCTTAGGAGCCTCTCACCTGGAAAAGTGGAAGGCATGCGGCGACCCTCTGCACAGGGGCTCGCGACCCACTTTTGGGTCACGACCCACCAGTTGAGAACCAAGGGTTTAGAGGAAAAAAGAGGAGGGGGGGGGGGGGGTTGCAGCCCTTTGTTAGAGCTGTAATCTTATTACTCCATCATTGCACCAGTGATAAAGTCAACAAAAAGTGTATGCTGGTGATTTTCAGGCATATATCTCTATCCTTGTTCAGTTCATGAGCCATGCTAAGGTATAGCATCAACAATTGAGGTACAGGTATGCTATCAGTGCACCCTCAAAAAGACAAACATTGTACTGTGTTAACCAAGTTAGTCTTCAATTTCAAAACTTTTATAACTTCTGAGAGGCTGCTGGGAGCAGCGATAAAGGGAGCAGAGAGCCCCGTGTGTCGCTTAATAAACTATACTTGAAATCTAACTTAGCCACAAATTGATCAAGATTGTCAGTTCTAGAAGTAAAGCATAGAGGGAGATGTCGAACAAATGCCTTTTCTAAAGAACCTGACACTCCTGTCCATCGCTGGCAATGGGTCTCTGCTAAAAGATGAATTTAGGGTATAGCCAGTGATCATTCTCTGGAAAACAAGGAGGATCATAATTCAGTCTGGACTGCAGACTGGGCAGCATGACCAGAATTACACCTTTCGAGAGACACCATGTAACTAATATTCTGGTCATTTAAAACACCACTTTTCTTCTTTGCTTGTTGGATTGACTGTCTTGCATCATATATGGCTCAGTTAAATTTTAGGGCCTGTTCATACAAGCCTGTGTTTTAGCAAACTGGCTAGTGCACTGTGCAACTCCGGCAGTGTGTACACTCCATTCCGGTCCCCACACAGCAGCGTGGTTTCCCACGCAGTGACATCCAGTGCACTGTGAAAAAATGCAGCATGTCTCCATTTTTTCACAGCTCAGAGCACTGCCCATCACACCTGCATGGGTGGTGTGAACAGGGCACATAGAAAACATTTGTGAACTGGGAACCTTAGACTCTATGCTTCTTCAGGGCAGGGACTGATGTGAATGTGGATCATGTACAGTGCTGCATACATTGTTGGTGCTATATATATGCCAATAATAATGTACCGTAATTAATTACCATTTGCAACAGGGCAAAAATAGTGCATAGAGTTCAATGAACAATAGAAGGCACATGGCTGTTGGGGTCACTGTTGAGTGTAGGTCTGAGACCTTGTCCTTTTAACTTGTATCCAATTGTTTTGAGTTTGCTGAACTCTATTTGCAGAGTTAGCTCACTTGCATTAGATTTGGCTTAGAAAAAATTGACCAGGCCTGGGAAACATAAAGCCTGGTGTTGATAGCAAGATGATATAGTTTAGATGATCTGGTCATATTTAGTGAACAAACAAAAAAAAGGTTCCTTCTAAAGTTGTGATGATTGATTTGTTGAACAAATATTTCTGTGTGCAGGTGTTGTATTTCCATATCAGCCTCATCATGGACGCTACCAGCTCAATTTCCACGATGCCAAAAAAGCCTGTGAGGGACAAGACTCTATGATGGCTTCATTTGAACAGCTCTATAAAGCCTGGGAGGAGGGTCTGGATTGGTGCAATGCTGGATGGATAAGGGATGGCACTGTCCAGTATCCCATCACCTTACCCAGAGAACCTTGTGGTGGAAAGGACACTGCACCTGGGGTGAGGAACTATGGAGAACGTCACAAACATTTGCACAAATTTGATGCTTTCTGCTTTTCTTCTGCTTTGAAAGGTGAGAGTTCAGTTTCTTTTTAATGCACCATACTTTACTTATGTTTATTAGACATGTGCGATTCGGTTCAGTCCGAAATTCGTTTTGGACGAATTTTCGGAAATTCGGAGATTCGGATGCATCCGAATTCCGAATTACAGCTAAGACGAATGCAAACGAATCCGAAATTCCCGATTTCCCGAAATTCGTTATTGGACGAATTTCGTTGCACCATTGACACCATTTTACCTCTACAACACATCTATGCTTAGAGTACAGAGGCTATAGTGTAGAGGTTAGAGCAAAGGATTCCCATTGCTAACGTCCTAGGTTCAAGTCAACTAATATTTAAAGTTTTTTTTTTCCTTTGCTTTTGAATTGCCATTTTCCTAACATTCCTACCAGACCTAAAGGGTCTGGTATGAATTGGGGGGAAGCTGGTGCACATGTCTAATGTTTATTGACTTATAAATCCTTTGTGGCATCCACTTAAATACAGCAGAGCTGTCTCTGGTAAAATGGCACAGTGTCTTGAGGTTGCGTCAAGTAAAGTAAACATTTCTAGTTTTGGGCAGATTGGAGAAGAGGTTCGGGGATCATTATGTTTTTATTGCTGTTTGTGTTAATTTTGGGGAGACACATTTCAGTTGTCACTAGAATAAGAATAAATGGGAAGTTTTTCACAGTTGTCAACTGTACTCATGACAGCTGTCAGGGAGATTTCTCTCACCTCATGTTGATTCTCTGGGACAGGGAGTAAGGCATAGATATTCCCAATGGGGACACGGGAAGCAGTAAAAACCTGACAGAAGTTGTACCTGCTATGCTGTAGGTAAAACTAGCTTTATTGTTCTTCAAGACAGGAATTCCACTAGGATATAATATCTGTTCCTATATATACAGTATATCTAGAGTCTTTCTTCTCTTTTAGGCACTGGAGTTTCTTTATTAAAGGAGCGAGCATTCACTAAGCTAAGTAAGCTAAGTGAAACCATGTTCACTTCTGTTGTCTAATCATGTGCAAGAATACATCCTACTTTCTAATAATCATTGTACACGAGTGGATATTCAAAGACAACACAACTTGACCTTATTTAATAAGCACAGTAAACATAAAACGTTCTAAGTGAACTTTCACTTAGCAAAGCTGTAAATACATGGCTCGAAAACCTCCCATTCCTGCTGAATCAGGTGAAATTCGAGCAATGGGTAGCCCTGTCGGCACTGCTGACTTGACAAGGGTCAATTTAAAATAAGACTGAACCAGGTGGAAAATTAACAGGCAAACATTCCTATCAGGTCCAGTCACTGTTCCGGCATTCAGGCAGGTGTAGGTGCTTCGCCTGCCTGAATATAATAAGCAGGAGAGGAGATTTCTCCATTTCCATTAAACAGGAATCTATTGATGTTTATATATGGCCAGCCTTAGTCTTTACCCCTTCAGTAAATCAACCCTTCTGCGTCTTTTTTTTAAACCTGCTAACAGCCTGAAGGTAGAGTGAGTGAGATTTGTCACTTCTAACTTACTTACTCATGCATCCTAATTTCAGTTAGAGCTATTGAGCTCTGTAAAAACTGGCTTTTTACTACAGAAATGCTGGAAATGTGAAAATGAGCCAGGATCTACCTTGCTAGCTGCATATTACAAAATATTAATATGCGATTGATCTGATTTACCAAAGGAGTCATTTATGTGCATATTTACTGCAGTTATCCAATCATGTAAAAAGCAAATTCCCGTAAACTTTGAAAAGCCAATTATGTGCACACAAAGAAAGAAAAAATGAATTTGCTTTTCACATGATTGGATAACTGTTTTAAATATTCACACAATTTATTATTGAAGATTCATAACTCCTTAAGCAAATCAGACTCAATATTTCCTATTTACCTGGCAATGCCAAAAAATTATTTTTTGTAAAGCACTGCGCAAATGATTGTTGATGCTATAAGAAAATATATACATATAAAATATATACAGAATATACATGCATTTTGTTTAGTTCAGTTTCGGCTATTTTGCCTACTGAATGAACATAGGCTGCTTGATATATTCCTATATTTTCTTTCTATATAAGTCAACTTTTATTTTTAGTTCAGCGGCCTGTTACGGGAAATCCACAAATAGTTTATTACAGGAGCCTCATTCCAACTAGCATGCATCTCTTCTTACAGAGTTTGCTTTATGTCACCCTGGCTGAAAATGAGTAATACAGAGCTTTCATTGCCTTATGAAAGGCAACATTCACACAGGTTTTAATTAAATAATAATAATAATAATAATTTAGGTATATATATTTTAAAAAATCTTAATTTTGAGTAGGGGATTATTAAAATCCCTCTCAGGTTATTTTCTGTCATCTGTGTTCCATGGGGAAGATTTCCCTTTACTTCCTGTGTTATAGACACAATGGGAAGGGAGAGTAAATCTCTCCAAAATAATGGAAATGACTTCTGAAACAGTTGTCACCAGTGTCCTCAATGCATAATTAGCACTCCATTCCCATTCTAGTGACAACTCATCATGTTCTATTCTCCATAACTTGGAGTTACAGTAACAATAACTCAGTTACAGTAATAATGGTGACTAGGACAATCTGAGAGGTTAAATCTCCCCAGCAAGGTCATAGACGGCAATGAAAACAGGAGTTCTAACTCCTCATCACTGTCTCTAACTCACTAAAAAAAATTTTTTTTGACTTTTGAAATACTTTAGTTCACATTCTTCCCTTGAATAGGATAAACCTTGCCTCTATCGTTGCTTTTTCTACGGATTGTTTAAACTGTTTAACTTCCTGTCCCACAGGAAAGGTTTACTACCTAGAGCACCCTGACAAGCTCACGTTTGCTGAAGCCAAAGAAGCGTGTGTGCAAGATAACGCTAAGATTGCCAAAGTTGGTCAGCTCTTTGCCGCCTGGAAGTTCCAGGACTTTGATCGATGTGATGCTGGATGGCTGGATGATGGCAGCATTCGATATCCCATTGCCTTCGCCCGGCTTAACTGTGGACCTCCGGAACCTGGTGTTCGAAGCTTTGGATTCCCAGAGAAACATAATAAATTTGGAGTATTTTGCTACAAAATGAGCTAAACACTTGGTAGCATCACCACCAGGACAGTTTGATCATCTACCTAGAGCAGAACTTTTTTGCCCCACACAACAAGGTGGACATATAGAGACAGGATAGCCAAATCTCTGCCCAGCATATATGTCACCAGCAGTGATGGTAAAATAAGACTATTGTAAAAATAAGTCACAGAGCTCCTTTAAAGCATATTGGCCATGTCGTATATTCATTGATTTTGCATTTGTGTAAGGACAATTTTTTTTTTCAAGTTGTTATATTTTATTCTTTTTTTTAAGGAATGTAAAAATAATACTAACTCTGATGTAACAATAAGAATTATCTGTCCTGTAAAGTCCAGTATATAGACTATAAACAACACCAAAGCACAGAAGAGGTTGGGTGCATGAGAAACATTGTGTTTTTTTACTTAAATCTAATATTATGCATTGGAAGAAAGAGATTGACTGCTATATGAGCAGTACATATTGCTTTACAGCATACAGTGTTGAACTGTAATTACTATTCTCTTGCAGTTATACAGATCACCAGCAGAGGCACTATTGTGACCTCAGAGGAAAGCACAGCCACTGAGCACATCTTAGGCAGACCAACAAGTTTTTGACTTTAGGAGTATTTTCTATTTATTGAGGAATACCTTTGCAACAATTCTTTTTTTTATGGTGTATGATACAGATTAAATCTTGGAAAAATACACATCTCCAGTGTTCTAAATGTTATCTGTGTGCAAAATAAAACCATGAAAAACAGTCTAAAATTCTTGTTTTAGTTTTCAACCCAGTGAGGAAGGATCTTTCATTGTTGTTTGTATAACCCGTGGGCAAATTCACACTCACTACTTGTCATGATCACCCTTGTCACCATTACAGAAAGTGAGGGTAAATACAAAATTTCACCAGCAGAAGAGTAGGGTATACAGTAGCTGCATTAAAGACATAGTCCACCTTTTCTCAAACATAAATAAATGCACACACATGAACAAACAAAAAAAAAATGCATTTATACATTTTTTGCATTGAAGTCTGCAAAGCAATCAGTGGAACACAGATGCACTGCACTGCCTCCTGCTGACTATTTCTCCAGCCCCAGTTCCATATAAAGGTATTGACCTGCTGTTATTGGACTGGGGGAAGTGACATCACCACAGTTGTGCCCCACTGAGATCTACATCAGCCCCTCTACTGCAGTGGCCAATGGAGCTTGTAGCAGAATCCTGTGGGGAGAAGAAACCTGCAATTCAGGTAAGTAAGGGCAGTTTGAGTGTGGGTGACCCTACTTCATGTTACACTCTAAATATGAGTGTATCATGAAACATGGTACAAAGGATGGAGTGTGCTTTTAACAACTACTTTCAAAGAAAGGATTTCCCTGCACTTCATCTCACTTGTTGTGCCACTGGAACAGGAACTGATGAGAGATCTTGAGTTTGGCCTTGAGTTCCATTTTAAAGAACTAGAAAACAAAATATATCTACAGCTTCTACTGGCTCACTAGATCTGATCGCTACATCTGTTGTGTTTCCAAAATGTATATCAACATTATCTAATCTCCTAAATAAACAACAGGACATTTGTTGTCCATGCATGCCTTGCATGGTGTGACTATGCCCGCGCCTATCATCATCTCATCATGACTGGCACATGAAGCATTGAATAAAAAGTTGGTGTTATGTCCTGTGGACAGTTCAGATACAATGGTGTTTCATGAAATTCCTCTGTTATACAAATTACACTTAATTGTTACATATATGTGGGGCTGACAGGCATCCATGATGCTCCACAGTAGCTGGGCAGCCTTTTTCAGCAGGGGAAGGCAACCCTGGAGAGGTGGAGATCAGCTTTAAGACCATTGCATCCTCCGTAATAAAAATGTTGGTTTATGAAAATATGTTTTCAGTTTTCAAACTATTTGGAATCAATATGTGTGTAAAGATGTGCAGATACAGTATGTTACTATTGGAGGACATTTATTCTGGGTCATTTCTTATTACGTGAAACTGAACTCAAAAGGTGAAGAGTTGTTATGTTAGTATGTTTGCGCAGGATTTGAGGCTATCAAAAACGCTCTGCTGAACACTCTGATATGAGAAAGCAAAGCTCTGCCTCTACTAAGATGGCAGCCTCCACATAGAGACATTAATGAGAAAAGGACCAGCTGCAAGAGACCACAGACAATACTGCCGACTAGTCCTTTTTCCTCTGCCCACATCTGTCTGCCTTTCCCCATATAATGAAGAAATCCCATAATGGGGAAATTCCCATATAATGGATACATCAAAAACAAATGCTCATTTAACACTCAAAACTTGAATTATACTTTTATATGTCAGTAACCTGTATCCTGGTTCTTTTTCTGCTATTTTTTCCCCAAGTGTACAATATGCTGCTTGATGTTCTACTCAGCAGATTCAATTCTTATTGATAGTCATGTAAAGCAGATGTAAAGCACACTAAGAGTGCATTTTAAAATATGGAGCTATGCATAAAATGCACTTCTTTTGGAAAATGCATGCAAACCATGTAAAAAGTTTACTTTGCTTGAAAAATACATTTACAGGCTCATGTTAAAAACACATGTATTATTGGTGACGATGTTGTGCATGTAACAGGTGTATCCATTGGGACATTTCCGCTTTCCTCTTGTTCTGCAGACAGCTTTAAACTATGAAATTCCCCTTTCCAGATGACAATGGTCACCAGAGGGTAAAATCTTTCAATGGTACTCAAGCAGCAATAAAATCTTGATAGAGGGTCTAACCCTTTCCCACTCTATTCAAAACTAACCTAGAGATACACTTTAAGAAGCTGATTTGTTTATAGGCACAACAAACTATCCTACCTAACAACATCTACTCATATAGTATAAACAAGTTGTAAAGGCAGATCACACAATGACAATGACCAAATCTGCTCATGTATGTGCTCATGGGCTCACTGTTTTTATGATCATTCTCAGGATCTGGAAGCCTAGTTTGGTTGCCAGATATCTAGATAGTGTTTCTCAACCGTGGCACCTTGGGGTGCCTTCTGTCTTCCTCGGGGGTGCTGCAACATTTTAGTATAGGGTCATGCCGAGGGCAAGCAGGCTTCTGATGTGAAGGGGGGCTTCTGATGTCAAGAGAGGATTGTGATGTGAAGGGAGGCAACTCTGATGTAAAGGGGGGCTCCTAGTGTGATAGGGGGGACTGTAAAAAGAGGGAGCTCCTGATCCCTATCTGAGATAAGGGTCTAGAATGGATTTTGGAGGGGCTGCAAGTCCTTTTTTTACATTTTAGACTGGGGTGCCTTTAGATTTTTCATATTTTTAAAGGTTGAACAATGCTGATCTAGATCTTACACATGTAGCCAGACTTGTTCAGATCAGATCAGGTAGACTAAATGAGATTGTCAACCAAGTCTTCCTGTGGTGCTGAGAGCTTGGAGAAAGCTGCAGTAAGTAGACTTGCGCACAGCTGAAAATTTCCTTTCGTTTTTGTTTTGTTTCTATACTGATTTTTTTTTCTTTTCTGAAATTCAAATCCATTCGATATTCGGAATTCAGATCGATATGAAGTTTTTGTTTTAGGATCTATTCAAATCTATTTAGATGGAGTTGTTTTTAAATGTGAAAACAAAAAAAATTAAAAAAGAGTGGGGTGTCCCCCCCATTTATACCAGACCCTTTAGGTCTAGTAGGAACTTTAGGTGGGACCACATGGGGGTTTAGGGTCCCCCCTAAAATCCCTTGCCAGATCCTTGATCGAAGCAGCAGCTTGGCAGGAAAAGGGGGGGCGACAGTGTCCCCCTGCACCATACCCGGCCACCTGCCCTCAACATGTTGATGGGACAAGGGCCTCTTCCTCACCCCAACCCTGGCCTGGTGGTTGAGGTCTGCAGGCAGGGTGGCGTATATGAATCTGGTTGCCCCCTTTCACCCAGTTCCAGCCCCCCCCTCATGAATGAGTAAAGGATAGTTGTCCTACTCATTCACCAAATACAGAAAAATAGTAAATAAACACACCACATGGTAAAAAAATCCTTTATTTGAAAAAAAAACAATAAAAACACCTCACAGTTTTTGACAATATCTTTATTAAAAAAAAAATGTTTATCAATGTAATTCACATGTCAATCACGTTGTCCAGCGATGTAGATCCACGTCAATCACGGTGGAAGATGGCTACTAGCTCACCGAAAGAAAAAATCCCCACCGCCCGTTTTTAAGTTTAACAGCATTATTTATTTTATTCGGACATTCGGATGGTGATTTTCGTCCGAATGTTAGTTCGGACTAGAACAAATGTACATGTCTAATAGTTAGTTTTATACCAATGTTTAGCTGTACATCAATGGTAGCTGTACATCTGTGTCTGCTCCTTCCTGCCATTCACCCGCTGTATCCTTATATTATATTCTGTTAAGGATAAAGCAGTCTTTCTATTTCTGACTTGTCTCTTTTTCCATCCTCTTACCTGCTGTTTACATACTGGTAGGCTTATAAGGGATTGAAAAGGTGGATTCTACACAAACTTATTACAAAGTAGCAAATCTAATCAACTAAAAAATCTTTTTTTTATGAGACGAGGGATCCTTCTAAAATAGAGTTTTTAACACTTTGGCCAGCAATACTCTGATTATATGCTTTAATCATTTCAGTTTTCTTTTTACAGAAGAAGTAGATCCTCACTGACATTCTTCACTTGTCACTGGATCCTTATTGACATTCTTTAAATTATAGTGACTGACACGTGAAGTTCTTGTGTCTCCAAGGCCAGGTGAGCTCATTTCTCCATAACGCTGGAACTGCCAGCCACAACGCTGTCACACCTACTATCTGAGAACAAATGCTCAGGAGGTCTGCGCTGTCAATGCTTCCTTAATAGACTTTCCACTGTGATTACAGGTCACAGGTTACAGTGTTGCTCCCAAAGTAGGAAATTGATTTTGCCATCAGACATACAGAGTTATTTTGTCAAAGGATCAAAAACCTACTTGATACAAAATCAATGACCGTACATTTCATCTACGCTACTCTTTTTCTTCTTTTAATCAATCCCGAGAAATCAAAGATTTGGAACACTGACAGTAG